GTTTTTTACTATATATCTGTCACATAGTTTCACGTTTATCAAAATTTTTAGGTTATCCTTCTGATGCACAGTGTTCACTAAAGCCTCCTCTGACCGATTGTACCATGTATATATCATTATTTGCATTCATACGCTTCCACATCTCCCGCTTTTTTTCTTCTACATTTTTTTCGACACGTTTCATGCCTTTCATGTTCTTCTCTCCAGCACATTTTATCTTCTTTCTTTATTTCTTTCTTACCAAACAATAATATGAATCTCATTACCCGTCTCTTTAACTTATATGACTTAACATTTGTCGAAGGACTTACATTTTGAAGTAAGAAAAACATTTTGTTCGCAATTTCGACAAATTTGTCATCACACATTTGGAACATTAATTTCTATTATTCTTTATTATTTAATTCTTTTATCCTCTCGTCTCTTAAGTACCTTTTTTTCATATTTTTTGGGGCAATTTTTATCTTGATTATTTGATATTCCTGTTCTTATATGCTCTACATATATTTTATATTAAATAGGATTCTAACTCTTCATTTCGTATAAGAATTTAACAGGCCCCCTCACGAGTCAGTGGGGGACATTCTTGTTGAAAAAAACAAAACTACCCAATCCGGTTTTTCTTAATTTGGACTGAAATTTTTTTGACATGTTTATTGGCTAAAAAGAAGGCATTTCCCGCACTCTTAGCGTTGGGGCTGCGAAAAGTAATTTGAAGAGGTAAAGTGACTGAAATCCGTCAGTGCATCATGAGCTTAACAGCTTAGCACAAGAAGCATGGAAGTCTCCAAATGACACGCAGAGGTATTAAGGAACCGTTTAGAACCGCCTTATTGATATTGTGCAGCCGAGTACAATATTATGCCTGTAGCTGCTTTCAAAGTGTCCCTGCCTGCTCATCCTACTGCTGACTATAGTGATGCTTCGACCTTCCCTACCGAATCGCAGGTGAAATCGTTCGTATCTCAATTGAAAGCTAAACATAAAGAGGTGATAGCAGAAGCATAAAAGGTTGGCGGTTGCTTAGTTAATGATGTTGAGAATGTGGCTTTATTGATATATATACTGAATTTACTTCCAGCGGGTAGACCTTAGTACTAGCTAGTATGGACACTTGTCTCGAGAAGATACGTCCAAAACCACCCTCTTTGGGAGCTTCGGGATAGAACTTACTTTTAATATTCAACATATTATAATGTAAATACACCCCTTGGTTCCCGAGAATCATGTTAAGTATAATTTCAAAAACCTATTAAATCTTTTTTTTTTAATTAAAAACTCCGTTGTACTTTTATTTCTAATCAACCTGTACGGGATATTGTGAAACATCGTATTGAAAGTATCTTTATACAGAAATATATGAACTGGGAAAATATACGAAAATTTACATCGCTTTTGACTTTGAAACTTTGATTACTGTGATTTAAATATTATAATGGTGTAATCTTAAAAAATGTTCACATAATAGGCTACCACTTACGGTTATGAAAATCTGATCGATCTTGACAATTTGTGGTTTGAGCATCTGTGTCATAGAAGTGTATAAATAAAATTTTGCGATCAAGGTGTTTCGTATAATCATAAATAACTTGTGATAAAAGCAGATAAACTACACAGATCAGAACTCAAAAATAATAATAATATAGTAAGTTATGTAGCTAATTTTCTATACAGATCTCAGATGTTACGTTAATCTATTGAAGTAAACCACTAGTTTTTATATGTTTTGTAAATGAAATTATTTTCCTTACTTTCTTTAATATTAGTTTGGTTAGAATGGTTAATGTATATATATAAATGTATATTCATTTATTTGTATTAATTTTCTTTTTACATATGTTATGTGGATTATTTTGCATTGTTAGCTTAGTGTGTGGATTCAGGAGTAGCCAAAATCTCCCAACCAGGCAGTATCTCGGGAAAAAGTTTAGGATTAAGGTCGAAAATGTAGATCACATTGAGGGTATCCAACTGTTAAATCACTAAAATTCTTTACCAGTTTGCCCCTGAAGAAGAAAGGTCCACCTTTCGAAAGCGCTCGGGTTATAGGGTTTTTATTCATTTCTATCAAGATTTCTTGAACATACGTGTTTTTCTAACATCATGAATTCTTTGCAGCTGTTCTGTATTAAGCGTTCAATCACGCTATGAGTTATGGACCCTACAAAGACCAAAATTGCAAACTTCTTAATACTGAAATGGTTTTCAGAACGTGAAGTACAGTTACAAAGTAATTTTCATATGAATATATTGAGTGGTAGATTTCATGTTGAGAAATGTGCTTTCTTCAACTGTAGTTAAACCCGATCCATCACCATCGTATACTGTAAACCTGAAAGGTCACCATTTGATATTATAGCATAACATCCTATTACATCAAATCGACCTCTTGCCTTGCAGATGTATCTTCAGAACTTTGTTTTCAAGATTCGAATCTTGAGTAGCTTACTGTGGTAAATGACGAAGGATGTATGTTGCTGGGTCGTTGAATGGTTTGATAAGTAATAAAAATAATTGGAACTAGATTGAAATTATTGACAATTTTACCAACAGTCTTTCGCACAAACTTGCAAACCATTATTGCCTCCATTAAAACAGTTCCAACACACTAACTGTTGGCTCACTTTTTTGTGTTTACATAATAACGAAGTTTCTAGCACTGTGAGCAGGCCCTTGAAAATGATGACCAATGGTCGTTGTAACGCCGTTTTTTTTTGTTGTTGTTGGTGTTGTTACCTCTTTCGCTGGTGTCTTTAACATTATTTAATCAGTTATTAAAATAGACTGTAGTAAGTTTAAACCAGAGCCTGTGATAGCTTAGTGCTATAGGCAAAAATTAAGGTTGCACCCCTACTCACACTGGAGCTTCTCTTGTACAACCCCAATTTATTGGTATTGGGAGGGGGGATCGTCTATAAATATTAATATCTAAAATGGGTTAATGGTTGGAAAAAGAAATTGACCTCAAGTGTGAAACAAGTGTTGAAAAGAAGAATAACGAATATTCCTTTGCTAATACTATTTTTGATTGTTTAACCACCACAAACAAAAAATTTGTAATGCGTGTTCCAAACCGTTCCGTTGTAACTTTTTATCATCTAAACCTTTTTTACGCTTCTAATTTTTACTTACTAACAAAAAACTCAGTTCTTCAAGAAGTTACGGTAATTAGAATTAATAATAACAGTAATCGATATAAATTCAACAAAACACATTGTTGTTTTGGGATGGTTTGGATGGGTTATCAAAAACGTTTACTAATAACATGACAGAAACTTAGTATTAAATTTGTTTGTTGAATTCCACGCAAAAGAACCCCAGGGTTACCATCGCTAGCCGTTCCTAATTTTGAAGTGATAAATTGGAGGGAAGAGAGCTAAACAACAACACCCAACGCAATTCTTGGGTTATTCATTGCCAACCAATAGTGCCATTTACCGTCACATTATATTGCCCCCACAACTGAGAGGGTGAAAATGTTCAGCGATGGGTTTAGATCCCGCAAACCGCAGGGTATGATTTGTGCGTCCTAACAGCATGCCAGGCTTCATGTCGTAACGTCATCGTCCAATCTTGCAAGATGGAAACTGCTTTGGATCGAATGTCTTAAACATATAATTTAGCAATAATTCATTGTAAGCATAATGAGTACATGTGATTATTGGTTTTGTGTGAGATTTTACACACTAATATCTCGGTTCGAAGTGAACACCATTTTCTGTGCTGTTTAATTCGTTAAACGGTTTTAGAAATAACTTCGTGGAAGTTTCATGTTATAAAGTTTTCGGAAAACTGATGAATAAAACTACTTATTCTGTACAGTAAGTTCTGTAATAACTTGTGTTTTCCTGCTAGAATGCAACTGAAATAATGAACTGAAAACATTATGTAATATAAACGGTATTTTTTATTATCCTGTTGACTACCTTAGTTTCTTGGGCCTTAGACTTAAAAAAAGACAGCCATATCCGGTTATCTTTTTTAAAAGGGGAAACTAGAATAAGCTGATGAGCAAGTGGTTGAAAGAAGGTAAAGAAGAGAACTTTTCCTTGTCTATGGTAGGAATACATTTTCAAAATTTCATCGATATTATCTAGCCAGTTTCAACTTTTTTTAAAGCAGCGCTCTTATATAATTACTAAATTGCAGGAAATACTGAATCGGCATCTCAACGAATTCGTTTACTTGCACATGGAGTACAGGACGACTTTAAAAAATACTGTATGCTAATAGTGCACAATTAAACCCATTATAACTTATGCATGGGAGCATTTGGTGAAATATAATGAAACATTTGTTTCTAGTATTTTAAAATTCTAAGTAGTTTTAAGCATTTTTTTAAAGCATGAGTAGTAGAGATAAACTTTTCTCCTGTATGATGTACATGAAAAAACCTATTACTAAAACAAGAACTTTGTTTTATTCGGCCCTAAAATCTAAAGAGTAATTCTTACCTCTTTATATTGGCATGTTATCCTTAAAATATAGTATCTGTAAATTTCAAAATCCTTGGTATTATTATTTGCCCCCCCCCCTCCCCATTGTCTAGTTTTGTGATTAACTTCAAACAAACAATTATTGTTTGGGTTAAGTGTTTAGATTAAATTTAGGCAATAGAAGAAGTAAACTATTTAGTATTAAGCCGAGAAATAAATGTCAGTAATGTAATACTGTGGCAGTTGTAAAAATATATTGTGGTAAGTACAGCTGATGCAAAGAAAAAAATGACACGAGTTCTTCTTTTGTATATCATTTATCCAAACAAAGCTAACGTAGAAGGTGTTTGGTGTAATTTGTTAGGGAGAGGTTGATGATGTTTTGGAAAGAAGAAAAAAGGTAGTTCGATTAGTTGATAATAGCAAAGTAATTTTAAAATTTTTATTCCTATGACTAATTACACATCTTAGATATAGTAACGCTATTTTGGAACTGACGTTTTGGTGTAGTGCATGTATTTCCTGGGCGCTATTTAGATATCGTTGTTTATTTGATCATTGCAGTCCAATCTTGAAGATCTAAACGAATACGAGTATGACTCAGAGGGGGAACAACGAGAAGAGTTTGTAAATACCACAAGTCAAGTAAAAATGGAAGATGTTGGGGATCCTGAAGTTTTTGCTAAACTAAAACGGCAGGAACAGGAAGAGCGGGAAGAAATAGAACGTGAACTAAGGGCTCACAAGGAACGAATACAACGAGAGGCTGTAGCAGCAATTCAAAGACAAGCAACTGTTGCTGCTTCTGCTGGTGTCTTAGGTTTGACAGCTACGCCAACATCTTTAATTACATCCAGTATGTCATCCCCACCCCCAGGCTTTCCGTTGTTTACTCCTCAAATTCACAGCCGCCTTGTTCCAACTACTGTTCTCCCTTCCGTAAGTCCTGGAAGTTCAGCATCCCACTCAACCCCTTCTCCATCTATGAATAATATTGCAGCATCTACGAGTAGCCAAACACAGAGTCAAGACCAAAACAATTATCCCTTCGAAGAACAGTTTGAACAGGTTCGTGCTAAACATATTTCTTATAAATAGCAAACAAGCAAGTGAGACTGTATCATTAGGAAAATTATTTTAAAATATACACCATTAAAAAATACAAATATTAATACTGCTGGTAATTTCGACGGCCATACTGTTTCGATACTATCATGACACAACTATTATTGGTAGGTCATTGCAATCGGTAAAAAAATTACATCTTTAAGTTTTAAATGTAAACATAATAATAACTTTTTTGTTATAGTGGAATTTTTTTTAAAAGAAAGAAGGTCAAAATGTATTTATGGTTCGTTCTTAAGCTGATGTTTTAGTGATAGAAGTGTGATAAAAGTTATAATTTCTAACTTTGTTTCCCTTACATTTTCAGGACCTTGCTTCTCAAGTTAGTTTGTCACAGTCGTAATTCCTATATAGAAAGCGTTTGTACAATATTTAGCTTAAACTTGGGTATATTACATGGAAAAAAATCAATTTAATGTAAAATATTACAGGGCCGTAGGAAGCGGTAAGGCCAGTCATGTATAGCTACAAGTTGCTTCTTTTATTCAATACATTACATTGTGTGTATGCAGTATTTGTAGTTAAAATGATTTAATCTCATAGCATTAAATTATCAGATCCCCTCCCTAGAAATGGCAATGTGACTATGGCTTGACCATTTCAAAAATGCTTCCTACGTCAGTGATTATATTTCTTAACTTTGGATTCATGTATTAGCGAACATTAAGAATTAATTTATCAGAGTTACGTCATAATGTTAGTAAAACTCTGTGAAAGTACCTTACATTTAGATGTTTAAATTTTCTACACCTTTATTTTTCATATCAAAACTTCAAGTTTAACAAAGTTCTTTTGATATAAAGGAATGTATTGGACCGTAGCAGGATTTTGAAACATTTGCTTTTAATGTAATTGCTTTAATCTTTTATATTTTAAAACTTAATTTTCTCTGGTGTGACACTAAAGAATTTTTAATTTTTAAGACAATAAGCCTGTAAGTTAGGATTGTCTGCAAAAACAAGCGTTCTAGTCAAGGTAAATGGGATTTATTTCTTCCTCTCGAATTTAACATTCTATTATATATGCTTCCTTAATTTCACTAATGAGTTCTTGGAATTACTAGTGTAGTACTCTCTATTGATGTGTCCGTGGTTACTTGATTCGCTCCGGCAACAAGAAGACTAGCTTGCTGGTTGGCCAGTTCTTCTGAAAAATAAATTATATTGTGTAATTGATCCGTACCCTAGTTCTGACTTATAAATGACTTAAATACTATTGATAATAATTAAATTTCATTTACTTAATCTAGATACAAATATACTTGGGTAAAAGGCTTCATCGGCACTATGTATTGCAAATATGAACATATTCTGCCTTGTCAGTGAAGGTTTTTAGATTTCTAATTTAATTTCACTGTCATTTTTCTTGTCATTGTTTCCATATTTTCATCTTTCCTCTTCTCTTCAACAGACGAATACTGGGCCAAGGCATTTTTTTTTTTTTTTTGTCGAAGAGAATTTCATTCGTTTTCTTGCTTTATAGGAGCAGATCCGTTCAACACACGATCTGTTAAAATGGAGGATAGAAAAATGTTGGTTACTGTGACTAAAATACAGGTAGCTATCCCACTTGGTGTTACGTTCAAATAGACTACTTCATGTTTCAAAATAACTGCCTAAAAGGACTCTCATTATTATAACCTTTGAAATTGGCCATAATTCTTATGAGGTCAAATCATGATCGAAGCTCCTGGTAGCGCGTAAGATAAATTGTTGTCGGGAGTGACGACTTGCTTGTATTGTCATTGAATGTTACCTTACATCTGCTGTTTCTCGACTTTGGTGTGTGAGCCATTTTGGCTTATTCTATGTTGTTATATGATGATAATTTATTTCGCGTGAGATAACGTAGCCGTGCTTCTTAGCATCCTTTCAACTAATTGTGTCATAGGCTGAAGATGCTCAGTGAGTTTCGTTACAAGAACACATCTTTATTGAGGATACCAGTGCGGATCTTCGTAGGTTATTATCTTTTTATAGCAGCTCACTGCAAAGCCTTCTTGCAAATTTTAAGTTTCTTGAGTTACAGAAAGTTTATAAAATCTTGATGGAACGAAGTGGCGACAATTGCTTGTTAAAAATGAATGACAAAACTTAAATTTTCTACGTAGTCTGTGTATAAGTGACTTAGCAGCAAACCCTAGCAATGGATGTGTAGATATTCGTTTATTAACATTTTCCAAGCAACCTTCGTATTGGCTGTATTATCTATTAACAGTTGTGTGGATACTCATTTATTAACACTTCTCAAGCAGCCTTCATATTATCTGACGTAACAAAAAATACTTTTGATGGTCACAGCTCAATGATGATGTTTCAACATTGAACTGCTGTGTAAGTTGTAGCGTGTTATGATTCGTCAGTGCTGGGGAATAAATAAAAGAGTATCTAATGAGTGATTACCATACAATTGGTTAGTCCCTTATTAAGAATATGACTTCAGTCATCAGATTGTACAGAGCGGCAAGAAGCTTTCTTAATTACAACACTGATCTTCTGCTAGTCCTCTCAACGTTAAGAACGTTTTTCTCTAGTTAGTTATGCCAGTGAATTTTGTACATTGAGTGCATAAGGCCTTTCACTGTCTGTTCTGGAGTGAGACTTAATTGCTGCTACTATAGTAGTAGAAGTCAAAATAGGGATAGCATGAGGACACTGTAGCAGGACGTGTAGGGTAAAAGTTTAATAGTCTTATAACCAACACGTGATACCTATTCAGTGGAAACATACTTAAACAAAATTTTAATTGTTTTACCATCCTACATTTAGACATGGTTTGTTTTTTCAAATTCTGAGAAAATTTCAATATTGCAATCAATAAGCATACAGTTATAGAGAGATCTAGCCCTTCCAAATGATACTTTAACACATCAATGAAAGTATCAAGCCCAAACATTTCATTGTTAACTCCAAGCTTATGTGTAATAATAGAAATTCCAGAAATAGCAATAGTAAAAGAAATGTTCTGCGTAAAAAAAATCGATAATCTTATATTAATTAGGATTTATCTCTGTTACAAAAACTAAATACTGTGGACAGATAATTTTCAATAATATTGCGGCTGATAGTAGTGATAGTAAGTTAAGCCATGTTTGTGTACATCATAAGTAATAATACAACTCATTGAATTTTGTATGCTTCAGACACCACATCCAACCTATATACTATTGCCAAAAAATTGCTATTTAGGATATTGACCATTCGTTATAATAAGAACTTATGAGTTAAAGTACAGAATAATATATATCAACCACACTATATCAGCTTTATCAAGTGCGAACGAGTCTTTCACCCAATACTAGGGCTCATCGGGTCAGCTATGATGACCCTATGACAGTTGTTTTGTATTCTCAAGCATTTAATTCAAAATTTTGACACTGGTAAAATAAGCTGTTAGTTAATCGATCAATTTAAAACATGTTACCAATGATTTTAGTATTGAGATCTTTATCTTTTACTAAACTATACTGCAACAACTTATCACTTAGGCTAGTAGTTCTAAAAGTAACATCATCACGATACAAATAAATAATTCAGTTTATCATATTATTTTTATGTATAGACTAAACATTATAAAGATATATTTGTTTTGATATTATTCAATTCAAACCTTGTTGATATCATTATAAACTATATTTTGATAACAATGTTGGCTAAGAGGCAATAACTTATGTTTCACTCAACATTACTGTTTTATTCATAAATTGGGTGCAGGTTAGCCTTTTAGTAGAACTGTATATTTTTAAAGCTGGCTTCGAATCCGGATGATAACACAAAATATTTTCCACACTTTAAGAGTGACAGTCAATCACCTAGCGTGGATGGTGGGTGATAGGGTGCTGTTGACTGTCAACATTCCTTTTGGTTAATAGTTCAAAATTAGGGGTAGCAGCATATAGTCTTATCAGCTTTACCATAGATGCGAAATACGAATACGTTGTAGATTTAAAGGCAGCTAGATCTGTTAATAGTAGGACAGGTACTCATTTGAAAAATTGTATCACAGTGAATAAAAATTGTACACAAATTAAAAAGCTTTTCACAAATATACATATTTACTTTAAAATACGCAGTGACCAAACTTGGCGAACATAACTAATATTTCCTCATAGTTATCGGATGTGTTACGTTGATTAAGAATTTGTCGATACTTGATTTCATTAGAAAGGCAGCTAGGCATAATGGCTTGTACAGACAATATAAACTGAAAGTCTGGCCCTCCAGTGGTATAGTGGTATGTTTGCGGACTTACAACGCTAGAAACCAGGTTTCGATACCAGTGGTGGGCAGTGCACAGATAGCCCTTTGTGTAGATTTGTGCTTAATTACAAACAAACAAGCCTGAAAGTCTGTGCTGTTCGCTAAAAGAGCTATGGTGTAACATATACAAGTATCACAACAAAAACCGTTTACCGCTTAAAATGTGTTATGCTTGTACTTTACTCTGACTAAATATTTCCAAATGTCAGGAAACTAAGGAAGTTTTTTTTGGAGGGGGGATTGTTTTTTTATTCCTTACCAACACATTCTAATACATCGTTAGTTTCATTTACTCACTAATTTTATTTCCAAATGAAGGTGAAGTTCTAGAATGTCTATAGTTTCTATCGTAGTTTTCTTTCTTTTTTTAATCAGATATGAAAATAAGAAACTTAAACTGATTTCTTAAATAGTTAAAGGTAAAAATAATTTTATATTAGAAAGTTTATGGAGCTTTAAATATCTCTTTAACCTTGTTTGGTGCAGTTAAGCGAAATACTAGCTGAATACCCGTTCAAAGCATTGAGAAGACATAGGGGCCCTCAGGTGACAGAGTGGAGTCAGTCACGAACGCCTACTCCACTACGTCATTCCCGTTGGGGGCTTAAAAGTATATGCTAGGTTTGGTGACAATCGGTCTGGCGGTTTGCTAGTTATAAGCAGATAAAACGCATTGTAACGATA